TTTTTTGTGTGTGTGTATTATATATATGCTTTTACAAGGCCCTACTCGTTTTGAATCATGTAGTGTGAATGACTATTTTTTCCTCCTATTATTATGATTGTACATCAAAAGTTCTCATATTAATATGAGCCTCTAGTATAATGAAAATCATACAAAGAGAATATTTTTTCTCTATTGTTTCTCTTTCCTCGTAGTTTTATGACATGTTATCAGCGCGATTCTTTACTCTCTAGAGCTCGTGTGTAATGTGGGTAGAGTATGCTCTACAGTTCTGGTCGTATAGTTCACAAGAGGTATATCCGGATCTCTTTCCTAATAGTAAGCTAACTTGGGGAAGAGGATAATCAGTCTAAGGAGTAGAGTTCAAGGTTTCATTACGATTATGTGCAAATATATTATCATCACTTTACTCCATGTAAGTGAAGTGCACCAAACATATTATCATCACTTTACTCCATGCAAGTGATGTGCAAGATGCACGTGATACAAAATTTATATAATTTTTTTTAATTTTGGATTATGTTTTTATATCGTAAAAAATATATTTAATTAATAAAACAAAAAAATATATATTACATAGTGGATTGTGTCAGTTCTAATAATAATATAATAGTAATAATAATAATAATAATGATGGATGACTAATATTGATTAATTAGAATTTATACTAAAAGGTTTATGAAAGTTACTCACTTATAAAATAGTTCTATAACAAAACTTTTTCTTTCAACATATTTATTTTAAAAATAATATTATTTTTTTTTTATTTTTATCATATTAATCAATTTTCTTAAATAACTAATTGATTTTAATGACATGGGAAAACCATTAGAGTAAAATAAATAATTATTATAATAATAGTGGTTTTAATATTTCTCAACTAGTTAATTGGTTGGATCCTTTAAATATGTAAAAATATTCATGATATTTTATATTTTACATTTGTAAAAGATTACATTATTCATTATATTTTATACAATTTATAAATAAGTAAAATAATTTATAATAATATTTTTCATGTTTTATAATGATCAAATTTATAATATGTGAAACACACATTATATAACTTATTATTTTAAATATAATATTCATATAACTTATATTATTTTATTTATATTCACTCAAGTGTATAAAATTGAGTATTATATAGTATAGATATATGTGGGTTAATGTTAATTTCTAATGATTGATATAAATGTAAATAAAGGGTAACATAATAAAACTTTTGGGATTTTTTTTAGAACGATAAAATTCATTAATAAAAATATATATGTACAAGGAGCTAACCAGCAAAATGAACCAATCACACAGTTGAATTCAAATATAAGGACTACACGGAGGTAGCCTAGAACTAACAAAACGCACACGAAAGAATACAACTGCTTCCACATATGGAGAATACACACTCATAAAAGGAAAAATACATGATCCTAAAGAGAAGAATATTCACCACAACAAACACGAAGATCGACAAACACTCGCAATACTAACATAAAACCTTAAAAAATAATAATAAATAAAACCACAACAACAATAAAAGCTACGCTAGCACCCTCCTCAACAGTTTGGCAACAACTTTGAATTTCTAACATGAACCAACACACAACAACGACAAAGAAAAGCAAGACCACACCCGAGAGCCGATTACAAAACTCTCATCTCCGAAAGGAGCTGACTAACGATAATCGACTGCACTCGAGTCAGGTAATTCCCTCTTCCCAAGGGATCCCTGCCGAAATCAGACCTGGAGGTTAGCCCCTCCCCTTTCCCTCAACACACCCTCAGTTATCGCGACATGAAACATGTCTGGCAACTCAGATGTCCAAATTTGATGGACACACTCTCATTTTGTTCCTCTGGTCATGGTCAACAATATGTCTTCATCAATAGTCTTTAATTTGAAGTGTGATTTTCTACGTCCTTGTTTATTTGTCTGAATCTTTCGCTAACTAGACACTTATTAAATAAAATGTTGTTTATAATCTTATTTTTTATTCAAGATTTTAAGTAAGGACTTTGCAGTAACAAAATAAAATGTATTTTTTATTTTAAATTATTTAACTAGATAAAAAGACACATGTTTAAAATAGTATCTATTGTCATGAGACATGTACGAGACGTATTTAACATTAGAGTGACCTAACTCTTTTTTGGCCTCTCATGTAAGATGTAAGAAAACCTTTTCTTTGGGCCAACACTTCAATTTATGTGCACACCTCGACGTGAAAATGAATCGAATGGCTTGTAAATACTCGGCATGAGCTTGTGCGAACTCCAGCACTTTGAATTCAAACTCGAGTCGAGCTTCTCTAGTTTGCATGCTCAAGTGCTCAACTAGCCGCATAATTATAATATTACATAAACATCCTAACTAGATACCTTTGATAGGAATTTCTAGTCGAACTTGAGAAAAATTCAAGATCGACCTCGAGCATTTGTGTTTTGACCCAAGTCCTAAAATGCTCGGCTTGTCCAGCTAGAGCAAATGGAAAAAAAAAAATATCAAGCCTAGCTCGGCAAGACCAATATTCAACTCGACTTGACTCGTTTGAAACCAAAGGCGCCACCACGGGATGGGATAGGTTTGTGAATCATTGTATAACCTTTTCATCATGCAACAACATACAATTTAAGACAAGAAAGATTATCTCCACATGTATAGAGTTACAAATGAACACCCCAAAGAACATGAAGGAACACAAAGAAACTATCATGAAATTACACCCCAAATTCATCATCAACCCCAACACAACACAATACATCTTTCTGAATATCACACAGTTAATCCAAATTTAAAACCTCAAATTATACTACTAAATGAATGTTAAATCTTCACATCTCTTGTTTTTTTCTTGAAAGCCCAATCCTAATAAATTCGAATTCATTCATCATACCCTGACGAAAAAGATACTGAGCTCGGGCCCCTGAT